CAGCCGCCTTGTCCTGCGCAGGCTCTAGCGTGCAGCACGCGCCGTTTCGCAACGGCCGGTTCTCCTGGCTTGCCGCGCGCTCCCACAGCGCGCCGTTCCTCTCCAAACACTTCCGCCACCAGTTCTGCAAGAAATACACGCAACCGATCGAACGGATGAACATCAGCCGATGGAACCCGCACGTGCGGAACCACGTCTGCAAAATTCTCGCATACTTCTCCTTGCGGTTCGGCAGGTAGATGCTCTCGTAGTGCACCGCGCAGGCGTCTGCCAGCCGGCGAAAACGGTACCGTCGCGCAAACTGTTTCAACCTGCTACAGCAAAGCGTCGCTGTGAGCGCCAGCTCGACCAGCGCCGCGTGGTAGTTCGAAGTGATTGAGCGGTGAAACTCTGCAATACGGCCCGGCGAGCAAATGTACGCAAGCTCTTTCTCGAAACGAGTCAGCGTGCCGTAGCCAAAGAAAACCTTTGTGCGCCCGAGCTTGTACGCGTTTGGCGGCAGTTGCATGTATTGAAGCAGCAACTTCGTCAACTCCTTCGGAGTGAATGCGCACGCGAACTGCTCTTTCAGCGCTTGTTTGTACATCACGAACATCTTCGCGTACGGAATGCGACAAGGAAAGCCGCGGCGAATGATGTCGAGCACGGGCACAACGCCGCCCGACATCAGCTGCCGCGTCACCAGAGCATGGTCAAAGACATTCGGCGCCTGCGCATTGTTTGGCTTGATGCAGCGCACGAAGTAGCACGCCGAGGCAGCCAGTCTGCGCATCAGCGACATCATCTCCGCGTGGAAGCTACTCACAATGGTCTTCCGCCGGTCGCCCACCTTCTCGGCGCTGAAGAAAGCCGCAATGATAGGCGACTTCGACTGCAGCAGCAGCGAGCGCAAGTCTGTGCTGATGAAGTCGAGATTGCTCGCCATGAAACCCTTGGCGTTGTACACCACCTTGTCGGCGTAGTGCGGAAAGGTGAACGTCAACCGAGAGCTACGCAGCGAGTCTTCTTCATTTTTGCGCCGCCGCTTGACCGACGCCGTGCACAAATCGACACTTGGAAAGCCGTTGGGCACGTTCCGGACAAAACTCTCGAGCTCACTGTTCACCATGCTGCAAAAGTCGTCGTCCGTGCGCGAGAGCCGGCAACAGTCTTCCAACAGCTTGAAGACCGAATGCGGGTTGTTCGCGCCAGCGATCAAGTGCAGCGAGCTCGTGACAGGCGGCAACTGCAGCATCGCCTTCTCTTCCTCCGTAAGAATCGCCTCCTGGTGAAAAATATCGAGCTCCTTGGCGGCCGCCTGCTTGACGAAGTGGTCGTACAAACACTCGTTCGCGTAATTGATGCACAGTTGTTCCAAGCCGTTGTTCACATTTTCAAAGCCGTACAGGTCCAGCAACGAAATGCAAGGCGCGTCTTGCACCGACACGCGGTGGCCGCTCTGCAGGTTCGCGTAGTTAACGATCGACACGCGGCCACTGCTTTGGCGCCGCGGCGCGAAGCTGCGCTGCACCATTTTCACGATAAAGTTGAAAACCGCCTCGTACAAGTCTTTGCAAATAGAAGAGACCAGCGACTGTGCCTGCTCCGCGCTGACAGGCTTACGCGCGTCGTGGATGTGGATCGAAGTTAGCCGGTCGATGAAGACGTCAATATTCGTGGACAGACCCCACAGCTCGATCGCCTTTTGAAGCGGCCGTGAGTCGACCAACTTAGCAGTCTTCCAGTGACCGCTGTCAATAAATTCCAGCTCGCCCATGTACAAAATGCCAAACAGCACGCGCAGCACACTGTCCACCGTCGACTGGTGCATATTGAAAACATCGAAAATGCGCAACAACTTCGAGATGTGGTACGGGTCGCTCACATTCCCATAGTCCGTGGAGTACGCGGTGCCAAGTATGCGCCACTGCGTGTCGACGTCATCGATGTATTTACGCTGGAATTCGGCTGGGGCCTGCGTTATGGAGTAGAAGACATGGTAGTTCTGTTCGTTAACAGGGCAATCAACGACTCGGCTTTTCGCAAGCAAGTACGTTTCGACAGTTGCCTTCACGAGCTGGTCGCCTTTCGGCGAGTAGTAAAGCGAGAAGAGTTTGCCGAACCGGCTGCTGTTGTTGTTGTGCAGCGTGCGCGCGTTGCCGAAAAACTCGAGCAGTGGGTTGCTCTGAATCAGCACCTCGCGCATCCGCTCGATCTGGCAGCCCGCGCCGCTGCTCAGCTCGTCCTGCCGCTTGCTCGTGATCCAGGTCAAGTAGTTCAGCATTATTTTCGTGCACTCTGTCTTTCCGCTGCCTGAGACACCGCTGACCACGATGTATTGGTTGCTGCGCTCTGCGAGCAACCGCTCAAACGCCGTATTCGCAACTACGAAAGGGTGCGACGGCAACGAGCCAATCTGTGATTTGTAGTAGAGGTTGAATGCGGCTTCATTGTACAAATCATCGAACGAAGCGTACGGGTTCATCGCAATGATGATGGGTCCAGCATAGGTGTAAATTTTACGCCGCGCCTCGGGCGTGGGAGACGCAAAACTGCGCTCGTAGCGCAACCGAATGTTCTCAAGGATGTTCGGGTAATTCAAATACTCTAACTCCGTAGAATCGCTGAAATCTTGCGCCGAGGGAGGCAGCAGCCGCGAGTCGCACGGGTGCAGCGCTTCGAGTTTCGCCGTGCGCACCTCACCCGTCTGCGACAAACGCACGGTTGCAGTGCCACCAGCGACGTTAATGATCTCCGCCGTGACGAATGCATCCGAAGCGCAGTCGTCGAACCACACTATTGAGCCTTCGCTAACGCAGCGCGTGTGCGAGCGTACGTCGGTTCGCGCGAAAAGAGCGTTCCGCCGAGCTTCCTGCATGAAAAACTGCTCAAGCGCGCTGTGCAAAGTGAGCCGCGGAACTGCGCTAAATTACGACTTCACAGCTGGCGAACTGGCCGCAGATAAAGTGCCATTTCATTTTTTGACTTTTCTATTAGAAAAGCAATTTCGATCAATTACAGATTTCTATATTGCGGCAATCTGATCAATCCGAATCTGATTCTGTGTTCGTAGACGATCGCAACGGTGGCCATGTCAAATGTCGAAGTGCAGCTCGAGTGCCACGGATACGCCATTCAGTTGCGTAACATAGCGGAAGATTCGGAGGGCAGGGCTCGCGAAAACGCGAACGCTTGTTCCGACTCACTTTTTATCTTCACGGCGAAAACGCCGTTCACGGACTCCGTCCTGGACTACAACCGTTTGTGGAAGAACAATTCGATGGCCCCGCACAAGGCTGCGAGCTACCCCGCAACCGCTCGGGAGTACGGCCGCCCATGCTACACTGAGCCGGCTGCTGCGCGCAACTACTGCGACGCGCCGCTCTTTTACTCTGGCACCAAGCTCGAGCAGCACTGCAGGTATTACGACCCTGCCTACGCCGAAGCATACCTGGCTCCGCAGGACGTGTTGCGCCAGTACCCATGTGCCGGCTACCCAGAGTCAAGAATGGCAAACCACTTCGCAAGTGCGCGTACCGAGAGCGCCGCCGCCACAACAAATCAGGCTTTCGCTTCGCCCGCAGCAGACGCCGTTGGAAAATTT